GTGTTATTTGTTGCGAAAGAAACAAAGAAAACCTATGAGTTCAATATTCAAAACCAGACGTGAAGAAGGATCTTTCTGTCGGTGGTCGGTTTTCTGCTACTAATTCTACCAATTGCTCATCTTGGTCACCAGTAAATTTAATTTCTGCCATTATTTTACTCAACAACATCGGCATTTGATGGCTAGCGTCAGGTCCCGGTCGCTTAACTCTCCGATATAAAAACACCAGTACCATGGATAGCACGTTCGGTAGGCCCCAGACCGCCACTGGTGTCATTTACAAATGCCGGATTCTGTCAAACGCGACACAATTGTTACATTACGCGTGCTTTTCCAAAGTTGTTTATTTAAGGATGATCCGTCAACATCATAGGTTATGGAGTGTCACGAGAAGAATGACTGAGATCATGAATGACGAATTTAGAAGAACACGGCAGGAAACCAGGTCTTCTCGGATACGACGTTCGATTGAACGGTTCCACTAAACAGCAAATTAGGCAAACTCCTATTCATTTATAGACACACTTCTGTGACGTTATTATGAGTAACACTGCCTGTAAGACTAAGCTGAGTCACAGTGAAGCGATGTTACGTGGCCAGGTATTTCACTGGAAAATCAAACGAGACGTCTAGTCAGGTTGCCTGCTGCTCTGACACGTCATTCGGGACCTCGTTCATAGTTACCGTGGACGTCTGATGCAACAACAGAGTCATCACGGACACAGAAATATGTCGTCGTAGAACATACATAAACCAAGAAGTTCATTACAAGTACCGTTAAAGTGATGGTTTATTTAACGCATTTTTACCTGCTTTGATTGCCGATTTTTAATAATACACTGGAGAGAATGTGGCCTATTTTAAGATGTTATCCAATTATAGGTAACGTCGGTCAGGATAAGCAGGCTCCACACCGAAATCGAACCCGAGATCTCTCGAATACGAAGCAGCAATCCTAAGTAAATATTGACTGCTTGGGATCAGTTTGGTGCATGTCGCTGTGCTCTGAAATTTCCCTGAATTACCACAATGTTATTACTACCACCTCATGCTGTATCTACTATTGACCTTCTGGCTGTTGATACGGCACACTAGTAACAACGAATTGTGAGATTATGGTTGCCAACTGTTAGACCAATAAGGTACGACGATACCCACTACACAGACACCATCTGGCAGGAAGGATCAAACTGTGTGGATTACTCTGTGATAATGTCATGTCACAGTTAATATACGTAAACGCACAAAAATGTAGCATGTCCCATAAACTAAAGGCCAAGGCGAATTCGGTAAGATGGCAAAATAAAGAAAATGTAAAGAGGGTAAAGATATTGAAAGTAATGAGTTTCTGATCTCAAGTTTTGGAATATTTTACCTTGGAAGAGCAGCGATGGCGCTACACTCTTCATATTATGTGAATTTATGGGACATGCCATATACAAGCATATTGAGGTCTAACACACCCAATTATGGACACAGTGTTATTGAATCTGGATATACACAGGCGAGAAAAGTACATATTTCAAAACACTTTGTGCCACAGATTCAAGAAGGTTCACAATTATCATACATGTTTCTAATTTTTGTTATTGCTGTGGGCTAGAGGTGGAAATGAACAATTTTCATGTAGATGGCTGTCTTCTGGGTTGTAGCGCCATTTAGTCTAGTAGAAATTTACCAACGTTTCAGACGTTGTACCTGCCACCATCATTAGGGCAGCGAGCGATCATCGCCCTGATGATGCTGGTAAAATTCTACCAGACTACACCCAGAAGACAGCTATCTTCATACTCACCACTGTGAAAACCTCAAATCCTACTTAATTTACATGTGTTCGGTGAATGAAATGAGTAAAATGAGCTCACAGTGGGGAGATATAAATCTATCCATCCTGTAATTTGTTATTAACATGAGTGACTGAGATTAGTGTAATGTAAAGGATGCCGACCTCTGGTCTATATCAGTCATGTAACTTCTACTTCACATGAAGCTGAACTGTAACTATATGAGTTCTGTCAGAACAGCTAATCATACAAAAAAATTGGTTTATGAGATTCACAGCTTTCATCTGAAACACCATCCATGAATTATATAAAAACTGATTTTATGTTGCAACCAGCCAAGTACTGGATCAGAGATGAAGCCCCCTAGGATGGAAGGTATGATAATATTCTGCTTGGTCATGGGGTGCTGTTATGGATACCAAGCAATGTGGGAATAACGATCGTATCAAAACCAAAGAATTCAGAAAAAACCCTGTTACAATGCCACTTCATCCACCATGTAACACACTTTAAGTCACCTTGGATTGAACCCAGGTCTCTGTTGTGAGAAGCCAGTATCTAACAGCTTGATCTATGGCATTGTTCTTTCATGTAACGTTTCTGTGATGAAATACAAACTGTAATTTGTCTTTATACCAGTGGTTCTTAACCTCTTTCAGTCAGAAACTTCCTTACTGTGAATAAAATTGTTCAAGGCCTTTGAAATTTGATTAAGCAGTTTAAAAAAATTAATACTTTTTATATTTGCAGTTTGTGTTATAATTAGGTCAGTAGCCCCCCTGACAAAATTTGCACAGCTCCTACTTTGACAAAGGCTGCATTCAATTACACTTGGAGCAAACATTAGTGCTACCAAGATACATCTCTCTAAGATGAATTTGTATAATTCTTAGCCAAAGAAGAAGTCATGTTTATTTTCATTAAGTAAATAGTAACTTACAGCGGATAACAGGAACTTGTTAGCATGGCATGCTGATGAGACACGCTGCCTCCAGATATGGGCAGTAACTGCGCATATGTTGAATAAGCAGTTGCAGATGGCCAGCAAGAAGTGAACTCCAAGCCTGGGGTTTGGTCACAGTTGACCCTTCACCATATTTAGAAACCACTTCAAAATTAGATGGATTGTTTGAGAAAGGTCACAAAGTGATCTGAAATAAATAGGAAACTGGTACATGTAAAATGGATCATAAGGAAATAAGAGGTAGTGGAGTGGATTGAACTTGCTTCTTGTATTGTCAAATGGTGAGCAGTGCTGAATATTCAGGCTTTATAATACATCCATCCCTTAGTCTATGAAAGTAATTCAATTGATGAAAACTGTTTGTAAGGCAAAAATTCATAAATTAAAAATTAAATTAAAATCAATTTCAATGTAAAAAATTCTGACTGGTTCGTGACTCCCAGAAAAAACACCCAATGTTTTCTCCACGTATGTTAGAATAGTTATTACCTATTTAACCCAAACCAAATGTTTACATTACACAGCTGCTACTGTTACAGTATAAACATCAGAACTTACCTAAACAAAGAACAAACAGCTGTTCTTATCAAAACTTAAATTGCTGTATGTATAATGATCATAAAGATTAAATGATAAGAATTAATTGACTCTTCATTACAGCAAAAATGTGTAAATTGGTTGTAAATCAAGGGATAGGCATATTAGAAAAATCACTTAGAGAAAGGAAAACAAGTTTGAAGTCTGCTTCAGAGCAAACTATAGGCTGAGGGAAAACAAATAAATTTTCCTTAAAAGTTTAGCATTACTCATATAACTTTTAGGTATGCCTATATGAAATAAAACAAAGCAATATACACAACTCATCATTAGTATTTTAGACACAATATAAAGTAATTCTGAAGACAGTAGCTGATAATACACCATTTATAAACAAGAAAAGGCAAGAGGATATTTGAAATAACTACAATTTACACCCCCCCCCCCAAATTTAATTTCAAGTCCTTGAAAACACACTTCTTAAAATCTCTATTAATATTTTAAAATTAATATGATTACTATAAACTGGAGTGAAAATATTTTTATGTATGTATACCTGTAAATATGTAAGATTTACTTAAGCATCTATCGCAGTCATGCCGAAAAAGAACGTGCAGATCCAATATCAGACATGCACGATGTGTGAAGAGGCAAACCATGATCATGTCACCACAGTAGGCATTATTGTGTAGTAATTAATTTTTCTTCCACCACTGGCTGCCTTTCCCCTGACTCCAATCATCCCCCACCATACACTCTTTTTGACATACCAGCTAAATGCAGATTAAAAAGTAAACATATCCCAAATGACTGGAGTAAAATAGAGAGGAAACATAAAAAAATAAAGACAAAATCAGCAAAAGAGCAACAGAAAGAACATGAAGGTTAACAAACCAGTTATATTCTGTTGGCTGTCTCTGAAACCTGAAATTCAAGTCTCATAGTCAGCATATTCTAAACTAGTTTACTTTTTCTATTTGTACAGGGTGTTCTATTTAAAATGCACCCCTAACTATTACATACTGACCCCCTTCACACACACGACAATGAAACAAATGGAAATATCGAATTCTTAAAACTGCATCCTGCTGTTGCACTGCTTTAAATCAGTACAGACACAATTTCAGCTGTTTATCATTCGATAACCACTGGTCACAGATAAATATTTTCCTGTATCCCAAAACTTTATTTGTAAGTTGGGGCGCTGCTGTCTTATTTTATACTTTCTTTGTCTTGCTAAATGTTTCACGAACAGCAGCAAATTATTTTAATGCAAAGCAATGTTCGAGAACCAACACCATGTTCCTACCTGCATAGCTTTGTGCAACTGGTGTGAGCGGCAGCCTAGCATCAAGGGAAAGATGGAAGAGTTTTTTTACATGGGGATAGACTTGCTTGTCCCCACTTAATGGTACCTGCACCTTGTTGTGGTGGTGGGGCTTGAGTACCTCAGTGACCCCAAGAGCTATGCTGGCAGTAGCATAGCTACTGGTAGGGCCTCCCTAGGGGGAGAGGTCAGACTAAGACAGGTATCCTGGTCCTCCAGGTTGGGGGTTGGTCGCAGGGCTAACAACCTTGCACCGTAAAAAGGAAGATGTTTCGAAACCTCAATCAAAGCCTCGGACAGACGGACCTAACAGAGGACTAAATGGAAGAGGAGAATTGAGGATGCAATGGACCAAATATGGACCGGAGAGCCATAGAAGAAGAGAAAATCAATGGCTACATTTTAATTCCAAACTATACCAAAAACAAACCCTTTAGTCCCTTGTTTGAGCACTTCATAATCTAAGATCAGAATTATGATATAAGCTGAAACTTGAATTAAAGACTATAAAGTCATTTATATCTGAGAAATGCAACAGCACAAACCTAAATATACAGATTTTTATAGTTTCATTGTCTACAACTAGTTTTCATAGTCCAATGGAGTGGCCACTCTGTTACCCTAACCTAACACTGCTGGACTTCACTAAGTTACCCATTATCATAAACAGATTCAAAGACATATGGTTTAAGCCCAACAAACTGAGTCACTACAAATATAAAAATATTAAACATGTTAAAAATTAAAGCATGACAATTCTGAGATGTTTGCTGTGTTATTGCCTCTGGACTTCAAACCCGTGAATGCTCCCTCAAAAATAGTGTATGTAGTCATGAAAGACTGTTTGTTCTGTCAAAACATGACCATTGGTTCTTTGCAAATACTGCCAGTGATGACAGTTATCTGGGGTCAATGACCTTTGTGTGGGCAAAGTGCCTGGGTGTGGATTTCTCCACATAATTTCTATGCTATTTCCACGTATGAAACATGTAATGCGCCCATTATTTTTGTCTGATATTAATAAAAATTCATGTGTTAAGTTTCAGTACAGCTCAAAATAAAATGCAATGAAAATCTGCTCACTCACCCCAAGCGCCTGTATGGCACATAGCGGGACAAACTTTTTTATGCTAGGTACTGTGAAACTGCTTCATAGTACAGAGGTGTCAGACATGGACGGAAATAACATGGCAACATGCTACTGACAAAACAGTCTATCAAAACCAGAGTAAAAAAGAATGCAACTTACTTCATCAAACCTCACAGACAAAACTGTACTCTGACACTAAATGTCTGTGTCAATTATCATGACTCTAGTCCTTCTCGAGCTCTCAGCATTCTTTCTCGCGCTCGTTTGAATGCGATGAGAACGGCATTGACACTTTTGACTAGAGTTGCTGCACTGAGTCTTTCTAACAGAAATGAGGAATATTTGTTGGCTCTGGCACCACCTCTTCCACCATCATGTACTATGTTAGATCCAATAAGAGCTTGTGAATGGTGCATGGTATTGAACTTCACTGTCACATCACCACTCGTTATTGTACGAAGTCCATATTTACTCAAGATGGAATCCTGCATATAAAAACAAATATTACGTAATCAAAATAGTAATCATTCCACAAATAAAAATGTAATCATTATCTTGTACCAACACCTTTGAATCTTGTGCTACATGTATATACGTTTCAGCCTATGTAAGTAATGCGTGTTTAACTTCTGCCATAAGAATGCACTGCAAGCTGTTGAAGGAGGAGATTTTTAAGTAAAGTTGTCCCTGGCACTGCCATGAAGACGCATGGGGTTTCAGAGGTAAAATTCCACTCTCCCTTAACCTTCTTGTACTTAAAAGTTCTGAGCTAACACCTGGCTACTATTGGAGGCCAATTCCTTATTTATGCCCAGCTCATAAATGAACATTAATTACTCTTTATATTTCTTTCTAGACTCCATACCTATACTGGCAGGTGTGTGGCAAACCTAATGAGGTGGGGATATCCTTGTGTGTCTGACCAGTGTTCCTGTGGACAAACACAGACAATGGATCACCTCCTGGCTTGCCCCATCTTAGATTCTCCCTGCACAAACGAAGATTTGGCTACATGAACAGACACTGCCATTCTTCATGCCCAATATTGGTTTCAAATATAGTTTTGTATATATGTTGTAAATTTACTTTTATATTTATTCTATACTAAATTTCCCCACCTCCTTTTTTATTTCTATGTTATTAATATTACTCTGTTTAATGATTTCTACTTTGAATGGTGTGTATTTGGATATGAAATAAATAAATATTTCTTTCTTAAATAAAACAAGGCTCCTACATATTCAATGCAGGGAATCGCATACCACATACCTTAAAATTGGATGGTATGCCCACAAAACTTGGATCTTCCAGTTGAGGTGAACCGCCAATAAAAAACCTTCTCATTTCGCCAATGGGGCTTGCAGACAGAGGTCTCCATGTGGACACAGTAATAGTATGCATACCAGGCGAAGGTGGAAGAGAGACATAACCATATCCTTCATTTCTACAACGGTTCCAACTGTCATTTGACACAACTTCGACAAACATCTGTGGCCATGACAGCAAGATTTCTGCCAAGAAAATATATTGTTGGAATAAAATTATATTTATTTCAAAGCAAAAACCTTATAGGATAGAGGGCACAAACTGGAGGAGCTGTTACAAAAATATTGGCTGGCAGCCATCTTGAGAACTTTAAATCGCACTGAATTCTGGTTTAATTTACTACTAACCTGTTTCACCCTGCAAGACTTCTAAATTTAAACTGAGCTGCAATTCAAAGAGATAGCTAAAATTTGCTATTCCTGTTCGCTGTGTACTGCATGTTTGTGTGAACCCTGATAATTGTTTTGTATTTTCACAGCTCCAACCTAGAAACAGAAACACCTATATTGAAATATCTGTTCAAACAGAATACAGAGACCTTTTTGCATACTTGATTATTGCTTAATACACACGGTTGATTATATCTGTTTACACATTTTGTATGAACAAAAATAATTATATGGTAATAGCAAATTCTTTAAATGGGAGTAGTGCTCTTGAATATGGAAGCTTCAAAATTCATAAGCTTAGAGAATTTTAAAAATATAAAGTATCATATTTCCTCCCATAAGAGCCTCAAGTCTCACACTGTAACAGCTTTGAACTGAATCACTAACCTTTAGGTAATTCAAAGAAGTAATGTACAAACAGGTGGTCATACTCAAATTGTTTTGCAGATGAAACTTCACCCAAAATATGAACCTGAAGTATGCCATGGCGAGGCATTTTGAATTCTGAGCCAACTTTCATCTGTCTAATATCTGAATGATGTTCATATAACTAGAAAAGAAAATTATAAATTGCATTAGCATCACCACCACAACCTTTGTTTCAGTATTACATATACTTCCTGTTCAGTATTCTTGTACTATTCTTACTTCTAGTTTGTGAACAAAATTACGATATATCCTAGGATCTTGATAGAGCTCACTCTCTTGAACACAGTCTCATCTTAAAAAAGTAGAATAACAATGCAAAGAAAATAAGCAGAGTAAAAGAGAAGGGCAAGAGCGTGGATTACTAAAAATTGTGGTATAAGCAGAAAAGAAATTCTAAAGTAAGATTTTGGGTTAAACGTATGATTATGGAAATACGCTGAAACAGATAAATGTTCTAACAATATGAGGAGACCTTACAATACACCGGTTGTATTAGCCGATAAATGGCAACATCTCTGACACCATTGCTTCTCAGATTATAAAATCAAAAGAAACATTGCAAAGAACAGAACATTTGTTTTGTTGCTTTTTATTTGAACAGTGATTTCTCAAATGCATAAAGTGTACACATGTTAAATAGCAGGACAATTAAAAGTCACTAGCCACAATAATGCAACACAGATTTAATAGAGGACTTGCATGTTTCCATTGGTCCAAATATACCCAATATTTGCAGCTGATTTTTGTTTACAAGGAAATATATGTGTTTTGATATTTCCATACACTGTTTGGAAGACAAGTTTCTGTAAAATTATTTTTGAGGCACAACATGGCTAATATTATAAATTCAATTTTGTTATTTTTTATAAGAGGTGAGATAAATTAACCTTTTTTTTCTGCCTTCTCCTCCAGTTAAAATTTAGATTTAAACTGCTTTTGAAAATATTCTTCAGCATTATTTACCTAATACTGTTAATTATGGACTGTACTTATTTCTTCTGGAATAGACTGATGAAGAACATTTTTGACCTCAAAACATTTTACTTTCAGATTTCCTGCTTGAAAGATGAATATGTATACAAATGTCCAAAAGATTTCTCCAACACTTCTTATTTTCTTGGCACTAAATCGTGCCTCTTTGTATGTATACTGAGTTTCAAGTCATAGTTCTAGTAATAAGAACTTTATAAATCTGTGGTGGACAGATATTTATAAATTAGCAAGCAATGCAGCAGGACAGAAAATATCTAAATATATCATAGATACCTTGTTGATGACAGCAAACTCTTTGTCCTTCTCTTCTTGGCTCATGTCAGTTGAGGCATGTTCTATCCAGTAGTGATACGTATTACGGGCATCACCATCTACCTCAATGCGATATGGGTCTAACCTGCTAACATGCTCTGCTGACGATGCAATTGAAGTAAAGTCTGGCGTGACCATAAGCAACCCTGCGATGGAGTCCCAACGAATTGTACATAGGACATATTCTGATTTTCCCACCCAATTCTCATCACTGTCAAAAATAAACAAATATAAGTACAGAATTTAATAAAAAAAATTTTCTTTTACTACTGCATTAAAAGGTGTTACACGAAAGTTCCACAAATTAATTTATTATATGAAAGAATAGTATACCACAGAGTTATTAAGCAAGGTATGTAGATGATAGGAAGCTACAATTTTAGCTCAGGTATGAGGAAAACTGTTTTTGTGCTCATATGTTCTTTATTTCTGTGTGAAATGCCTTTGTATATGGTATATATACATTATTAAGACCTATAGCTTATTATATTAACATTTTGTAATGTGGTATACATTAATAAAGTGTAAAGAAAAACCAATGATGCCCATAAGCAGTGTAATAATTCTGTATTCTCTGTGAACAATAACATTTATGGATTTACAGTCTTGATCAATGCTATCAACAATAACTTGTACTTGCAATAATGGACATCAGCACCAATTAAGGAAGCAAAACACAGAAGAACAATTTTTAAATTGAGAATATGCTTGCTGTGATAAAATATTTAGTTATGCTGAAATGTAACAGTGTAATAAATACCTGTTCTTTACACTCAGATCGGCTAAGATATAAAAGGTCTGCAATGACGTTTGTAAAAAATGGTTTTTCTTTTTAAGTTCCATATTAGGATTGTACTCTACAATATTTCTCCTTGAAAAGTACATATCCTTCCTATGAGACTTCCTATGGCCAAATTTCTGCCTGTGTCGAAGCTCAGACATTCCTTCAACCAATGATGTCACTAAAGGCTTTGAATCTGTTGTAACACTCTGGTTGGTCTAGGGAGAAAATATGAAATTCAGTCACTATATGATATGACTTAAAAAATGTTTACTGAAGGTTATTCTAAATACAGTAAAACCTGCATACAATGGAACTTGGATTAAACAGGAATCTATGGAATATTTATCTATTAATAAAAATATAGGAGAACATAAAATTACCTGCAATAAAAGGAAGCATTTAATGTGGAAAAAAAGAGAAAAAAGTAAGAATTTAATGGAAGACAGTTTGCTTGAATATTTACTGTTTTCATGTAACTCTGATGCAAACTTGACTGAATATATCTGAGGACAATTTTTATTATAAATGAGAAAGAAATGAGTCTGATCAGTGCCAGAATACATGCAGAGTCCTTTAATGAACTACTGATAAAAGTAATTAGGAAGGAGAAACAAAGTCAAATTGAAAGAAAACTGAAAATGGGTGTGGTATGAACACAGCATGGATTTTGGGACTAGCAGTTTGAATCACAAATACTGTCCAGAAATAAGTACCTGTGCCAAAGAGAAACCAGTTTGAAAGTTGTTTGGGTCCCTTCAATCCCATTATAAGCAGATTTTACCAGACAAGATATTTTCAGAGATAATTACCTCTTCCATATCAGTGAAGTCATCAGCATCTGTGTAAGTGAAAAGACGATTGTTTGGTGTATTTTCTTGACAGAGTCTTATTACATCTTTATGGTATCTTTCCTCAAGTGCAGTGTGGCAGTTCCCTGCATACTGATAATATGATATCTCAAAAGGGCTGAACACCTTTTCTTGCCACGAGAACGTCTTTTCCTCAGTCTCTTGTAATCCTTCAGTACTAATATGTGGTGTGGATTGTACATGACTTTCATCTTGTTGAAACTGTGGCAGTGGTATTAACATTGATTTGTCATGCTGAAGTCGAACTCTGTAGAACAAAGTAACTGACTATTAGAATGCTGTTATTTCTCTGCTTGTTATTAGTTTCTTTAAGAAATAGTAATTAGAGAAGAATACACAATATTTTTACTGGACAGTGTGGTGGTTTTTGACTTACTAATCAACTTATTATTAGTTATTAATCAACCATTGAGGACATTTAGCAATAAAAAAATTCCTGTGGCTTGCCAGAAAACACAAAGAATTAAAACTGTCTGTTCAACTGCTTTACCAACATATTTAACATGCTACAATAATCATCTTCAAGTATTATACACATTGCATCATGATGAAATGGAAGGTAGTCTTTGTCAAAAAGTGGAGACTCAACTAGAATGTGTTAAATGCAAAAGGCAGTACCACAGACTATAAAAACGGGCGCTGGTTCCTCACACAACAACAAATATGTATTAGGCAAATGTGACCAATCTAGAGATATGTAAGCATAAATTCCTCATTCCTGATGAACTGAAAGAGAAATGCTACACCTGTACCAATGGTTTTATCACACAATTTGTCGTCTTGTGTATCAATCTATTCATCTTGCCACAAGGATAAAACAGCATAATGCAGGAAGGCATGAACATCACTGTTGAGAGCTCAACCAATGTCAAGGGTCTGCGCAAAGTGGCTGCTTTGGCAGAATATAGTGAATAGGATTTATGGTTGAGTGTGTACCCACTGAAACTCTGCAAACACTTAGAAGCGGTGGACGTGGACATTTTCATGCGTTAATAACAAAAACTAAACTACTTTTACTAAGAGACTAGCCAAGTGCCAGGTAGGAGATGAAGCCCCTAACTAATTTGATAACGTGCTACTTGGTCAGGGCTATTGCATGTTACATATACAGCAGTGACATATGAGTATGGTGGAATGATGATTAGCAGGGGAAACCGAATATCTCGGACAAAAACTTATTCCAATGCCACTTCGCCCACCGCTATTCTTACCATAGACCAGCATCCGGAATATGGCTCCACAGCAAAAACAGTACTCCTGATGGAAATGTAATTGAATCCGACCGTCTAGCACGTAACCAGCAACTTTCCTGAGAACTATCCGAGCTACTCTGCATTCAAAATTATATTTCTGAAGGAATTCAAACGCTCGTACCTAAATCACCGTTAATGAATATCCCGCTTTTAACATCGTACCAACATTTCACCAATTGGACATCACAATAAAGATGTTACCAAAAACAACCATTATACATTACCTTATCTTAAAGTTTTTAATACAGTCCTTACATCTGTATACTCCAGTAACATAATCACTTTTATCTTTGTAAAACATTACGAAATGTCAATTTTAATCACAACTGACCAACATTTTATTGCTTCTAACAAGCTTACTAAGAGTCACAGATGATACAAAACACAGAATTACAAAAATGAGCTGAGATTAAATACGAACATAAAATTAGGTATGCAATACTTTAATTTCGCAATGTATATGGCCGTGCTCCCATCTATCTGCATCGGTAGTGATACATAACCTATCTGGCTAGTACTTTGCTTTCTATCGACCAGAATCAATCGACTGGTATGTAGCTACAATAATAGCGGGGCTTTTCGCTGATAAATAACCTGTCACAGATAAGAAAGGGAAGGTAAATGCTTGCATGTAAATGTTTACGTAGTTGGGTTGTGATTCATCCTCTGATACTTATAGGGCTTTTTAATTTCATGTGAGACGTAATTATAAAGGTATGAAGTGATGGTAGTGATGACGATAAAATATCTTGCATGCATTTGATAATATTTATCAAGTAGGAGGGTCATATGCATTTGATATAGATGCTGTGCCTCTTGTAATAAATTAGTGGTCTTGTTTTCCAGGCTGTAAGAAATGGCACCAACACAGAGAGAACATGCAGTACCACAAACAAATATTGCTCTTTATCCTGTAAGTCTGAAAGTAGGCTAATTAAAGAAAAGTTGTTGTAATTGTGCTGTTATATGTGATTCATTACTCTGTTTTGTGTTTCACAGCATTGGCAATTGATATTTGACAAATATGATGAGGACAGTGATGGGAAAATATCACTGTCAGAGCTGAAGCAGATGATTCTGAGTGAATCATTTACAAAAGACATCCCAGAACATACAGTTCGGCAGATTATGAAGCGAGCAGATGAAGATGCAAATGGCTATATTGACTACCTAGAATTTATGAAAATGGTTTGTCATAATTTAATGTACTTTACAGGCACCCATATGACCACTTAACACTTCAAAATAGAGTAACTTAACCCATACCCACATACTACAGTTATTTCCTCCATAATTCTATACAAGTATCACTTCATAACTTCACTGTGTTGTAAGCAGTAAGGACACTTGGACACTCATCTACTTGATACAGATTCCAGTAGAAAATTTTACTGCATATTTAAATGATTCTGACATACAAAGGGAATGTTTTCTTAATTAAAAATGATCGCAGAATGCTGAAAGTATATAATTTAATGTATTTTATATCTTAATTGCGTCATGTTTGTGTTTTATTGATACAATATTTTATTTTACGTCTATACACAAACTTAAAATAATGTTGTTTAAAATTACTTAAAATTATAACATTCTCAGTAGATACTGCATCTTGTTACATTTTTTGTATCGACGACATGTTTCAATGTGTATTACATCATCATCAGGTCTATCAATTTTAATATATTTTAAAAACTGTTGTACATCTTGCGTTGCGTATATTGATTAATTATAATAATAATAATCAATATACGCAACGCAAGATGTACAACAGTTTTTAAAATATGTTAAAATTGATAGACCTGATGATGATGTGATACACATTGAAACATGTCGTCGATACAAAAAATGTAACAAGATGCAGTATCTACTGAGAATGTTATAATTTTAAGTAATTTTAAACAACATTATTTTAAGTTTGTGTATAGACGGAAAATAAAATATTGTATAATTTAATGTGTTTGTACCTTTTCTCAGATCAAACATAAAGAAGTACAAAGTGTCATGGGGCGTGCATTGAATCGCTATGTTAGAGCAACTGTAGTGCAACGCGCAGTGGGTATTGATGAGTTTGATGGGACTGGTGATTATGAAAATGAATATTCCTGCTATCCACCAGTTGTTTGTATGATACTTATTAGTCTTTTAGAGGTAATGTAGTTTCGTTTGTATTTTATATTAGTAATGAGGATTGTGTTAACACATTTCCAAGGGTGAGGTGGGTTTTAAAGTTGTTCAGAAAGTACTTATCCTTGTTCCATGCATGCAGCTGAATGAGTGTCCATGTTTTTAAAATAATGACAGAGGTGAAGCAAAGGAATGGAGAAAATTACATTATGCAGGGCACAGTTTGTAGGCTTCACCTAATGTTATTAAATTGATTAAATAAAGAAACCTGAGAATGGTGGGGAATATACCACACATGGGGAGGGTAACAGATATGTACAGTTTTAGTTTATGACTATCAAATGATAGGCTGGGAGGTAGTGAACTAGATTGAAGTGGCTCAGGTCCAGTAATAATGCTGATCCATCTTAAAACTGCAAGTAAGTTGGTGATGATCAGACATTTTGAGGTCAAGAGTTATTTGAAGGTTTTTAACACGCTTTCAAACTCCTCAGGTTGTAGGAATCATTACTAATGTAATTTTATAGATATCTGAAATACAGAGGATGCTGCTAAACTAATTTTAATTTAACCAACAGTTTCCTCATTTTATGAGATTTAAACACATATTTTTAAGTATGGACTTCCCATCTTCTTTTATTCACATTTTCAGTTTTTGTTGCTAAATTTGTTGCCATAAGGTTGGTCTCATATGTAATGTGAAAACATAAAATTTTAGGTCATTGCATTTCTTTGGGATGTGATAGCAGAAGGAACATCGTCTGTCAATGGTCCTGCTGCAACATTGTTTGTGTACAACCCTTTCAAGAGATATGAAGCTTGGAGATACTCAACATATATGTTTGTTCATGTTGGGTGAGTTATAAAAGTCGTAAAAAAAGTAGCAAGTATTTTGTATAAAGTCCACTTACTGTATTAGTGAAGGCATAAAAAGAATGTGGCAGTATTTTCCTAGCAGTGAACAGTGTAAAGAAGATCACAAAATATTCAATAAATTTTCTTTGATTTTTATAGTGATTCAAAATAATTGTGTTTCTGTGCACTGCATAGGGACCCATCCTCATATGAAATTGCAGCTTACTGCAGTCATGGAGTTCAAAGTTGGCTGACATACGCCCTTTTTGCCATGGCTCTGTCCCTGTGAGACTACTTTTTGTTTGTTTAGATGCTATCAACAAGGATGTCACAGCATGTTATCATCGCACATGCAATTACAAGCAATAAAATTGATCATCTGCCCTTCTGATGGGAGATCAGCAATGACTTTCTTGGTGGTTACATTGAGTAAAGCACAAACAGAAGTATGTTGTGACATATTGGTTTCTGGTATCTGTAGCACATTCAGTCAAACATTGTGTCTTAGTGGATAGAAATCCTGCTTCATATTCAGGAGTTTCAGTTTAAAATATCAGACCAGAGACTGGCTATCCCGATTGAAGTTTTTGTGGTTTTCCTCAGTTCCTCCAAACATGCTGGGATTGTACCTTAAATTAGACCATGACTGCTTCCTTCCACATCCTTTCCAATTAATTAGGCTTATTAATTATTAATATCATTCTATCCTGTATAGTCTGAACTACTGACAGCATCATCAATAAACCACTTGTGAATAAATAAATGCCAGTATACTCATCATATTGTTTGATTTCCAGGGTGTTTCATCTGGTAGTTAATCTCGTGGTCCAGATTCTGTTGGGAATTCCACTCGAGATGGTACATGGTTGGTGGCGTGTACTGCTGGTGTATCTTGCTGGTGTTATGGCTGGCTCCCTTGGAACATCAGTGTCTGATCCTGGAGTATATCTGGCTGGTGCATCGGGTGGCGTGTATGCACTAATAGCAGCTCATATTGCAAGCATATGTTTGGTATGTATTGTAGGATGATGGTGTGGATTTTACTGCAAGATTTTTAAAAAGTATCATTAACTGTTCTTGCCATTTGCTGGTAGGTCTTCATGTCGTAACATAGTGCAGTTTGCTTCATTTTATTTAACCACATAATTACTTGAATAGTTGTCATAGAAATTCATTTAAAAGTCCTGAATGAAAGGGAAAACAAGAGGCTTCTGTGTAAGTCCAGGTAGTTAACTTGTACTTAGGTTTGATTAAGATGACAGTTGGCATAACAAATCTTTCATAGGTTAAATTCATTGTATAATATAAAACTTCAATTCTGTAATCCATTTGTATCAAAAGCTGCTGTAGTCTGAGTAGAAATTCATTTTATTGGCCAGAGGTGTAATGGGGATGTTTGGTGTTCATTTAATATGGAAGTTAGCCATATTTGAACACTTAATCATGTATGCATTTTGTTGCAATACACATAAATGAAAAGTGATTTAGAAATTTTTGTATCATAACATTCTGAAATTTGAGCACACAGAATCACACTGTAACATGCGATAAGTTTTTTGTCTTAATTACAGAACTGGGCTGAGATGACATTTGCAATATATCAGCTTCTGATATTCTTTGTCCTGATTGTGGTAGATGTTGGTACTGCAGTTTACACAAGATATGTTCTACTTGAAGAAAGCCAGGTAGTGTGTAAATAACAGTCAGACCTGATCAGTCAATGGGTTCTGATTCTGAAACATCATGAGTATCAGATTCATGGTAATGAGCTTAGCACACTCATTTGTCTTGATATTAATCACGTCATTACTAGTTTTTACTACCATATATTTTGAACGTACGCTCAAAAATAAATGTGACTTTTTTTGACACTCATAACTGTTTTCAAACAATACAGTAATGTTAGAACCACATATCAACTGTAACATCAGCTACAGTGGTAACACTAAACACTGCTCTGCAGCAGAAATTTCCTATTTGGATAACATGCTGCAAGAAACAGATATCAAGTGAATTGTGCTCTTGGAAACTTCTGAGACTGGTGGCCAATAGGAAGCCAGAATTTTGTTGTGCCTTATATGTAATAATTCAAACTTACGCTTATTGCAGATTGGTTATGCTGCTCATCTGGCTGGAGCAGTAGCTGGTCTTCTTGTAGGGATCAATGTCCTTCGGAACTTGGAAATTAAATCTTGGGAAAGAAAAGTTTGGTGGGCCAGTATTATACTGTACACAGCTCTGATGCTTGCAGCCATCATCTGGAATGCTGCCTTTCCATCATATTTCCCTCCTTCCAAATAATCCTTTCATCTGAAATAGGGAAACTGTTAAAACATTACAAGATTTCTGTTACAATGTTACTACTGTTCTATCACCCCTGCCTGTAGCGTCCATTACGTTTGGTTTACGTTTTGTTTGGTGAGTAGGTAACACTTCATGTCAGCAGTTAATGATTGAAATGAATATACTTTTTAAAGGAGGGAGTATTTATAAGAGTACAAATATGACGCGAAAGATTCCTCTCCATTTTCCACGTGTTTAAAATGTTATTTGACAGGTATTTCATTGAAACTGAAGAGTATGGAAACTTCCTCAACTACATCCTATTGATCCCTTTTGCGATTTATTTCACTGGTTTTCCAAAATTCTGTGTCATTAAATTTGATAGGATGTCAGGTAGTACATGTCCACAGTTCAGGATTGTTTGATGGGTTTATTATTTTACCAAGTGCCACAAATGAAGACCCAGTTTACCAAATATTGAGAGTAGCCACAGAAACCTATGTTTATAGAAGAATCTTATTTTTGTCACAATAAGATGAAATGGAAGCAGCTAGAGAGTATGATTTCTGTTCTTAAAATTATAAGCAATTAAACAAAAGATACTGAAAATTTGTTTTGTGAAAATGTTTTGGATGCTGAGAGTGCTTAAATTAACAAATCCATACATGAAAGTATGAAAATGTTTGTATATTCAGAAATTTGAGTTACAAAAGTGGCTATCCAAATGTGAACATAACAGTTCTTTGTACATTGATGACAGATTATAGTGCTTCTTCTCAGAAATTAGTAAAATGTGCAGCTCTTTGATTTAATTTTAAACGTTTCCCACATTTTAAGTGCTTGAAGTTTTGGAGTGAACTGTATTAATTTTATTATATTTTCTCTTGCTCTTCTAATTTAACAATTACATTTTATAAAGTTAAAAATTCAGATATTAAATATTATGATAAATAAATTTCATTAATAGGTAAAAGTTCCAGCCTTTTTCTTTGCACATCTTAAAGTTTGTTTGACAAACTATTATTCAGTTTTCTTACTCATTACATGGAAAATATTTTGACTTCATTACTTTTGTAATTTCCTATTGGTTTATTTATTTTTTTAATATGGAAGACACTCCTTTGCAATCTTCTCAGTTTATGTATGAATGAGAAACTTAGTAAGAATAAATTTATATGATTGGGTGAGAAGCAAGCAGAGAGCACTTAGATTAGAGTATGAGGTCAGAGAGACATTTGAAGGATGTTTGGTTTCCTTAATTGTCTCTGTGAACCTTATTTTGTTATATAAATATTCTTTCATTTCATTTCACAAACTAAATGACAGATTGACATTTGTAAGTCATAATGTTTAGACCGAATTTTCTTTTCCTTTGTTTGTTCCTAGGAATAAGTAAATATTGCAAATATGCAAATAAATACTGTTTTAGTTTTATACTTTTAGAGTTGTGTAATTAGTTTGGTGAAAATGTCACTGGGGGATCAAACCTACCTACCTCCAACCAAGAATGCATACACTGCACCATTGTACTTAATGTGTAACAGTTCCTGAGTTATTAAAATAACTGATTTATTCATTGGCAGTAGGGACACATTGATGGCGATTCTAAGTGCCTGTTGTTGGCTGTAATTACAATATGTGACAAATATGCTTATGTTTTTAGAGGAAACATATAAAAATGTAATTTCTAGTAAAGTTGAAGTTTTATAAGTATGTTACCCAAAATCCGTGACATAGCAGCACAAGTATGGGATAAATGTTGCATGGTTACACTTTGGGGGATATAAAAGCAACAAATATGTAGAATATGATGTTCTGACAGTGGTGATGTTAGATTGTGGTCTTCTGGGTTGTAGATCAAAGTGCTGGAGAAATAAGCTGCTTTTGCCTTCAGGTTTGAAACGTACTTGGTGTAACAGCAGCCCAGAAGAACACAGTGTCAGCAAGAAGTATGTTTCTGACTGTAAACCAGTTTATGAAAATTTTCTTTGTAATGAAAATTTGTTCCTTATTGAAAATTCTTATATTTAGAATAATGTGTGATGGGGTCGATGATGTCAACATGCTGTTGATAACTGTTTAGTTTCTGATACTGCTGTATGATACTGTAGTGCATGAATAAAGACCAGAACAGAAATGTCAAATGTCCTACCATTTGCTATGGCAGAAGGGATGAATCAAGAGACATGTTGCTTCTCCTTGCCTTGATCGTAGGACCAAGAGAATTTTGGTTCATTTACAAGACTCAGGGCTCCGCAAAATAAATATTTCACTGATACTTTTAAATAAACATTTCACAAAAAAAAACTTGGTTACATAAAATATTCAAAATCTGAAGTTTATGCCTTTGCTGACAAAATTAGGATGTTAATAGAACAGTATGTTGACACACTTGTACCCAAAAGCTGACTGTGAACACACCTTATCATATATTCTTGTATGCATAGTTTAATTTAATCTTCAAAGATGACATTTATCAGTGAAACGTATCATATCTATCCCCTAGTCAATGGAATTGATGCATTTCTATACAAAATAAATGTATGTATTCAGTAACAATATTCTACTTTTATACAGTTCATAATATTTTATATGTAATTTTTGTAATTTATACAGTATTTGGATGACACATGTAATGTGTGATTATATAATATATATTGATACAGTGAGAACTTCTTTTCATAGTGTATCATAAAGTTTTGTAATATATTAATTTATATTGGATTTATTTTATAATGCAAACACTGTAAAGGAACCAGATATTCTTGCAGTATTTATAATTGATTTGAAGGCCATGTCCAAAAGCTCAGAGTATGTGTATTTCTACCTTATATTATCCAACTTTCAGATTTTGGTTCATCATTGCTACCATCAGAAGTTATACATCCTTATGACATGGTGTAAAGATGTGGTAGTTTGATGGTCAAATGTTTGGCTTTTCCATTTATTATTTATGGGTATTGGTGTGCGTGGTGGAGGTCAAAAACATTTATTATTTTGAACTTCTGTTTATTTTTCTCCAGGTGCAGCATTCTTCCTGAATGAAAAAATAATATATTTTTGGGGGTTTATTTCATATACCTTTCTTCCTTTAGTATTTATGACATCCTTTTTATCTCCATCATCCAGAAAAGTCACAGAATTGGTATAACTTTAACAAACTATTTATTACTTCAGTTTTCAGGTAATTTAAGCAGAATATAGATGCTTGTTGGGGTCATTTGAACTGTGAGTGGTCTGGCCGTTACATGAAAGAGCATCTGGATTTGGCCTAAGAATCGTTTCCAGTTGAAATGTCGCAGAATCATTACTTTATTATTAATTCTTAGTTATCTGATTATCATCTGGCATCTGTCAGATAAAGTATATGCAAGTAATTATATACTGAAAAGTATTATTTTCACAGAGCAGATACAGTATTATAGAATGGTTGTTTGATATCTTTTATATATCTGAAATCCTTGTTATCCATTAAAGACAGAATTAGCGATATCAAAATGAGTTTATAGCATAGAAGACGAACTTATTGTATGTGGTTCTCTGCAAATCAATACATTTGAATTGTATTTGAATAAAATGATTGCTTATTGAATTTATGTTGTTTTTCTTGTATGTCCACATAGAGTAAAGGACCAAGGAATGTGCACTGCATAAGATGTGGGCTTGTGAGAATCAGAGAAATAGATGAACAGTCAGAAATATCAGTGTTCTAAAAATTCCACACTCGTACTACATCAGCTGCCTTAGAGATATTTTTAGCAATCACAGCCTTGATCTGAAAGTAAAGGAAACTGTTTCTACTGTCAAGGAGATTTTGTCCAGTGTAGTTTTATGAAGAAATGATCTGTTATTAATTTTATCTTCTTTAAATTTTGTGTATATTTTACAGTAATATTTACTATAGACTAATTGGGGAAGGTGAATATGTAGCTGCTAAAAAATAAGTAATATAAATAACAGACAACATTTGAGACTAAAACAAAAAATAGAGATGTTAATATGATAAAAAAGGGGAGACTACTTACTAGAACAATGACTGTCAAACGTAATGACAGATCTTCATTTTGAACTTTAACAATGAATGTGAGTGAACAGAAGTGAAATTTTTTGCACATAAAATGTGTATTCTTTTAGCAGGGTGAAGGTCTTTGCCTTACTCTTGTGTTAATTTTTGATCACACATTTAATATGCAAACACTTTACATTTTTCACTGAATGTTGTCTTAAATTGTATGGTATGAAAATGTTCAAAGAATTTTCCCAATTTAAGACATCAAGATTTTGTTAAAATTAGATGAGTAATTTATGGTAATTACAGTTTTGTAATTTACAGGTTCTAGCAGAAAAAATTCATGTCTCATTACACAGAACATTTACAGATATTTCAGGCTACAGTCTATAGTGACTGGCAAATATGTTTGAAATTTAGTCAGGACATACATTTAAAATCTTTAAAATCAGATCAGTGGTACCCAAATAAAATTCCGCATCCTGTTCTGATCCTTACTACATTTTAGAACCAAAACTATACTAAAGACTATTTTAACTAAAATTTTATGAAACAGATTATGGCAACTTCAGGTCCAAGGCATATTCTGCAGATTGTGGTGACATCTTGTTGCTGTGGTTCAACAAGAACTTATTCACATCCCAACACTAGAACTTTTAGCGCAGAAAACAAGACAACTTCACAAGCACTTCAGTTTGATGATCACCGTACAGCTTTTCAGCATAAGAACACATGGGAGTTGCTGCGAGCTCTGCTTGTTTTGAGGGCATGTGGATCAGACTTTCTGGTTGATAACAGTCTTAAGGTGAATTTAATGATTTAACTTGTTACACGTCATTCCTCCCACTGTTAGGCCTAATTGGCCTGTTATGATATTACAAAATGGAATCCTTCCATATTTCTTGAAATCTTCATAATCATCTTCACTTCTCCTATATCTTAATATTTTGTTGTTTTGCTGACTATTATATAACATTCTCACAGCATTCAGTGTATTCATGAAATGTGTTTACATGAAATCTATATTAAAGTCTGCATAAGTAAATACTTGTCAGATGAATCTCCTCTTCAGAAAAAAAAAAACTTGTAAACTTTAGTGTCTCTAGGTTTGTAAAGAAGATCACACAACTGAAAAAACTGAATCAGAGCACTATACTTGCATTTTATAAGGACTACAATTGCATTAAAGATAAAGATTCCTGTCTTCTGGGTTGTTGCGCTGTGTAGTCTGGTTGATATTAGCCAACATTTCAGAGGTCACACTGCTAACTGGCTAATATCAACCAGACTACAGAGTGCAACAACCCAGAAGACAGGAATCTTCATACTCACCGCTGTGAAAACCTCAAAACTTACGCATTAAAGAGAGTTTAATTTTTTATTAATACAATTAATTAATGTACTAAATATTGTAGAAAAAGAGAGGGAGTACTGAATAAACTATACAAATGATTTGTCGGCAGTTACTGCGTGAAGGACAGTGGATATTTGGTGACCGAGTCTTGGGCTGGTTTCTACATCCTACAATGTATTCCCAATTTGTGGCAGGACAAGAAAGTGCAGATTTAGCTGTAACAGCAGAATCACTCCAGAAGCTGGGAATCAGGCTCATGGTGGCTCCTACATTGGAGGAAGACATAGGAGAAAGCAGCTCAAGGTCTGCTATTATAAACTCTTAGTTATAAAGTATATCAGTTTCTTATTTTATTATTTTCTGAAGTTTGTAAGAAAAAATATATTTTTCTTAAGGGTTCCGAAGGAGCAGCATTTTTACACCCTACCAGCAAGATTCATGTGTCTGTCCATCTGATATGATTAATACCGTGCAGTGTATTGGTATATAAAATCATGCATTCAAACGAAACTGTTTACACTTGAAAAGACACTTAGTGCCAAATGCATTTCGACCTTAAGAGGTCATCATCAGTGGCAAACAAATTAACTATTATTAAGTCATACAATTTCTCTTGGGGTCAAACACGTTTGGCACTAAGTATCTTTTCTCAAACGAAACTGTTTACACTTGAAAAGACACTTAGTGCCAAATGCATTTCGACCTTAAGAGGTCATCATCAGTGGCAAACAAATTAACTATTATTAAGTCATACAATTTCTCTTATATATATATATATATAGACACTAACAGACGAGTTTTCAAGATATATAAAATCATGAATTCAAACAAAATTTTAAACTGGAAAAGATACTTAGTGCCAAACGTGTTTCCATGTACCACTTTTAAGATACTTGGTATGAACATCATGCCATTGCATGCCATCCTATCTTGATACATTTTAACTTTATACCTTTCAAAGTATAATGTCAGGGGCTGTGATGGGAACAATACTGTTGCCATAAGACTTTCAAATTTTATATGGTCATAGATATTAGAAAAGGATGCAACTTCTAATTAACTAGATTTATAGACAAAAATGAAGCTACGCTAAGTGACAGTCTGTGGTAGCACACCAATTCATTTTCTATTAGAGATGGCCAAGTCTGACATTTCAGAACTAAAGACATCTTCCATTAAATAGCCAAGGAACTGTTCTTGTAAAGATATAAACTAGGTTGGGAAACAATGATGAAAACGTGTTTACTGACAGAAAACTACTTCTTGTAATGATAAGTTGCAATTGATATTTGTGACTGTCCACACATTATACTAATCAAACCAGAACTGGAAAGTACAACTTATACTATTTCCTCCATATCATATGCAATGGTTATAATGCCATAACTTAGTCTTGAATTTGGAAGTGGTGTTTTTTTTCATGCTATATGTAATGGTTATAATATCACAACTCACTTTTAAGACTTTCATGACAATGAGGTGCACCTTTTGAACTGGAGTATGCATTAAAGGACATGTGACGTAAAATGTGCACTCTCTTCATTTATATTACATTTACCAAATATTACTATACAACTTTATTTTAACATCTTACTTTCCTCAGACTATATTAATATCCTCTGTCTGTTATAGGCAGGACAAATATGACAGGAACCTTGAAGAGATGTTCAGATTGGCAGAGCTGACACATCGTCATGGCGGAGATCATCCTTGCTTACAAACGAAGATCACGGCTCTGGTCTCAGCTGATACACTGGTAAACTGCTTTTTGGAACACTCATGTTCTTGACAGTCATTTGTGATATTTTACGTAAATGGATGGGAAAACACAAATTATGTTCCTAGAATCAGAAAGGTGTTGTAATTATAGCACTTTCTTTTGGTATTAGGTGTAGCAAAATATTTAAGTGTGATCAAATATGCAGCAACATTGTTCAGGAATCAATTTCTATGAAAAGCAGATGAATGATTTTTGAAACAAAGAAGTCACACAAAAACATGCAATAAGCTTATAGTTTGAAGAGGCAATAACAAAATAAGCATTCACACAGGTGGGGAGGGAAAAGAAAAGAAAAAAAGGCCTTATTGTGCTGTTGATATTATTGAACAAACGTAGCAGTCATAAATGAAATATTACGTCTGCTACCTGTAATGAAATATTTACACTGTCCTTTCTATTAGAAATCTAACAATAAGTACAATTATAATTACATTAAATTTAAACAATAATGGTTTGTAATTAAAATAAAGTAATACACTAGATGGTTGGGATTCTCATGTTTAAAAACTAGCATAAACTATTTTCTTGTAATTTATTTCAGCGCAACTTGTCTCAAGTGTATGCAAACAAGACAGTCAATTCAAGGAGAATGATAGTAGAGCACATTGCATCTGCCATGATCAACAGAGGACAACTGTCTGATATTTCTGGCATGAAACAAAGAGATAGTGAAAATCTGTCCATAGCCTTAGGAAGATTCAAACAACTTGGTAAAACATGTATTAACATAATACTTACGCTTTATTTTGCACAATATAAATGTGTTATGAACTTCTTGATTAATTTTACACAATGAAAAATTAACTGTCAAGTGTAGTGAAGCAAATATTTAATGCATGCTACAGAACAGATGACATTTTGCAGTAGATGTAGTAATTTTTTGCCTTACATCTGCATAGTTGTTGTTCAGGAACATCAGAAAGTTAGAATACATGATGCAGTACTTTGATTTTTCAAGGTGAGGTTGTTTCAACAAAGAACCTTCGTCTGTTGGTGGATGCCGAGTATAGCTACGTAAACCCAGGCTGCAGCCTCATTGCTCTAGCAATGATGGCAGTCTTCAACCACAACAAACCTGTCATAGCTAATACATATCAGTGTTACTTCAAGGTACCAACTATTTTCTTTGTGACTTGAGTTTTACCATTGTACTGTACTCATATTTACTCTGAACTGAAGGCTGTGTTCATATAGTTAGAGTCCTTTGGTTTTCCCCAGTCAGTACCATTCTACGACTGCTGCATATTCATTCTTGTATCAACTGGGAGACGGTGGGCCCATTAGTGGCTGCAATTCCAATTACTGATTTACTATGGAAATATATAATTACAAATGAATGATTTAGAAGAAGTATTATTTTTTATAAAATTGTGAAAAATTGGTGGGGCATATTTTATTTCTGAACTTAAGGATAGACACCTGAAAATATTTTACACTAAAGTTTATACTTCTAGGTTTCATTATCAGATATACTAGATTAAGTTATTTTACATGAGCAGATGACCATATCTTTAAGGCAAAATTATGTTTTCTTTACAAGAGGGCTTTGGAGACATTCACTCTTGAACAAGATGTCACTGAAAGTCTGGGGGCATGTTTTGCTGCAAAACTGGTAAGAGGAGCGTATCTTG